GCAAGGCAAAACAACGCATCTCTGTCTTTTTTTTTTTTTTTTTTTTTGATCAACACGCATCTCTGTCTACACTTAAAGATGTCTGCCTGAAGATTCTCTCTCTTGTTCGCTCCTCAGTCGCCGGGAAAACTACTCCGGCCGGTTTGAGACATGGTATGATTATTGCAGCCTCGTATTAATCGATATCTCCAGGCGATCAATCAATCAATCAAATCTCTATTATGTAACAACCAATCAACTTGAGCTTTAAACAGTCGTCGAATCATGTCTAGGCATGACCTTTAAGTTTCAATTCATGTGTAATGTCTTCTTCATTGTCCACACCATTATGATTCTTATTATGATGATGATGACACATAGGTACCTGTTGGTTGATGCTTTATTGGTTTAAAAGCTTTGTGTGTGGCTCTATGCTAATGATTCTGTAATAATAGGAGGGAGTGACACCAAAGAAGGGTGGAACTGAACACTTTAGTCTCCTCATGTCCCGTTGTTTTCAACTCTGTTGCTGAAGCCAAAGCCAATGCCTCTGTTATTTATTTATGCATTCCTGCGTGCGTCTTTCCTCTCGCTGCTATTATGGAGGAGGAGGAGGAGGTGGGTATCCAAGCTGAGTTAGATCTTTATGAAGGAATCCCTCAACATGACATGGTAATATCATAAGTTACAAACAGGCTTGGACTAAATCCGTGCGTGACTGATTATATTCCTCAAAAGTAAATTGTTAATCTCTGTCAAAGGAACAGTCTCAGTGTAGATAGTTTTGTTAACTGATGATCCTTGTTTCCCTCTTGTTCTCAGGTGTTGGCAAAACTCGAGAAATTTAAGCAGTCCATTTCTGCAAAACCGTTTGGCTCGAGTAGTAGTAGTGAACCAGGAGGAGGCAATACAGAGGAGGAAGATGTCTCTGATTGGAAGAACGTAAATCTTAAGTTTGCGCCCGAGCATGGCAAGGTAATTAATTCTTTAAGGTTCCATCTCACCCGATAGTGAGGAGGTTCTAGTGGATGTAGTACTATACTGACTTCGTTCAAACTCTTTAGTTAACATTAAAATGGAAAAACCCAGTAGTTCATATGATATGGCATCATGCTAATAACGAGTATTTTGATCAGAAGCTTGAGCATATGTTTAATTGTTTATATGCCCTGTCCTGAAATAGTGAAGCTATCTTGCAATCTCGCAAAGATGATCCAGATGCGTATCTTGTGGTTCTCTCCTCGAAAAGGGAAAAGAAAAGTTCAACAGAATGCAAGCCAAACAAAAACGAAAGGAACTAGAATGGTCAGGAAAGTCTCTTGCCTGAGTGAGAGTATTGGATTCATCTGAACTCGAGACCACCATCAAAGGGGCTAGAACATCTAATTTGGAGGTCAGACACTTTTCAGATATCAAACGAATAGATAAGCAAAATGTTCTACTCTTGTTATGCAACTTGGCTGATTGAAAACTTATTCAATTTCCCCACTTTAAAAAAAATCAAATTTGTGATAGAACGTATCTGTAGAAAGAATCTGGCATGTCTCGCTATTAAAAGTGATGTTTCATAGTTCACGGCTGGTGTCGACATTGGCTCTTTGCTAATAAACTACTAATAAAAGAAACTTGTTGAGCTGGCATTACCTCAATCGTCACGTAAGATACAACGTGAAGAAGAAACCAAAACATCTTTTTATTCAACTCTCTTTTCTCTCATTGTTTTTTTTTATGTCTTCACGAGTTCATTTTGTATCCTTCTTCAAAGAGCTCTTCTTGTTGTCTTTTCTTTTTTTTTGATAACCATTTAAGTGAAAAGACTTCATCCTCATTACATGTAACAATTTTACTGATTTTAATGGTAGACAATCTTCAAAATATTATGACATATATAACTCTGATTTCTCTTCTCTTTCTTTAATGCAGCATGGTTGTTCGTTGCTTTACAGAGAATGAACCAAAGAGTTATTCCTAGGTTGCAGATAATAGTGTTACTTGTTTACACATAAACAATGGTGCCTACTTATGAATAGTGAATCTTCCTGCATTCGCATGTGTGACATTCAATTCCGCAGCAAAAGTACAAAAGCCCACTTGCTCTTTTTATCTTTTCTGATCCACCCTTATGAACTAAATTCCAAAAACATTTGCGTTTTCAAAAGGTGAATTCTATAAACATAGCCAATGATGAAATGCCACGTGTGAGAAGTGGAGAAATAGCAAAACGCTTTTTACTTTTTCTTGTTGTTGTTGTTGTGAATTTCGTTGTCGCTAATTATGATTACAACGCAGCATTCTGACGACTTGCTCCCTCTTACAGCTAGACCACCACCACCACCTTTCTCTCTCACTTTTACTTAGAAAATACATTATTTTCTATTTTTCTTTTTTAGTTTACATAGATTTCTTCTCACATTCATATACCCAAAAGAAGAAAAACGTAAAAATTTGACTCCACCTAATTTATATTCCTTAGAAATGACTTAAAAATACAATAAGCTTTTACAAGGCTATGATTGGTCAAAAGACTCAAAACCAAGAACGGTTGACTTCATATGATTTCTTGACCAGTATATGAAACCGAAATCAATATCATTCATCTGTGTAAGAACTGTATGTTTGTCGATGGTCGTAACGTTTTCACCATTTCACTTGATCTATGCATGTTACCCGTATACTCAAAACTAATAAATGAAAAAAAATGTACAATGAGCGACTTCATCTTCCTATAAGTTGACGTCGTATTCATTTCCTTTTACTATAACAGTTGTACACAACTTTTTTGCCAATTATAAACTTGATAACTTTAAACATAAACGGTAATTACTTTGGAGAATGGATAATCATTACACAGTGTGACAGCTAAACTGCATACAAATGTAGAAAACGTACATACCATAGATTACAACTGTTAAAATTAGGATAATTACGCAACAAAATTATCGTAATTAGAAACAGAAGGCATAGTAGCTAGACTTTTTTTTTAACATAAATAATGGATCCCAATAATTAAATACTTAATACTATTCACAAGCTTCAACAGCCTATCGAATCCTATGCGCGTGTGAAAACCACGTTCCAATCACCAAGCTAAAATCCTCAGCTTCGTTGTACAAAAATAACTTATTGAGAACGAACATCAAATTCCAGTAATGCCCCTGACAGCGAAACACTCTCTAAAACATATCTGGAATTATAAAAAAAACAAATTCTACTTTATCTGTTAATCAAATAAAGATATTAATAAAAAAAAAATTAAAATTTAGGAAACAAATCTAATGAGATTAGGCTGTAAATCGTACGTATGTATTTCTGAATCTTTCCCCATATACAGAGTGCCATTTTAAAGCTACTGTCGACACGTGTCCACTAATGGTTCGGCTCATAAGGGTAAGATTGTAAAATCCATACCGTCATCTCTCTTTAAGAATTTCCAGAGCGAGAGAGAGAGAGAGAGTGCTGAGAGAGAGAGAGAGAGAGAGAGAGAGAGAGAGAGAGAGAGGTGCTTCCCCATAGCCATTCACGTCGAGAGGAAAAGAGAAGAAGAAGAAGAAGAAGAGTGTCGAGAGATGGAGGATATACAGGAGGAAGAGAACGGTACGGACGAGGAGGTGCTGGGATCGAGCTTGACGATGGAGAAAGTGGCGGCTGCTAAGCAGTACATCGAGAATCACTACAAAGCTCAGACGAAGAACATTCAGGAGAGGAAAGAGAGGTAACAGAATCGGTCTCTGATTCCTTCGTACGGTTTTCACTATTGAGAGAGAGATTTGAGATTTGGAATATCGTTTTTTTGCGTTTTCGGAGACACTGTTTAGGTCAAAATTAGTTGTGATTAGTCTCGTATTTGATGATAATCAACGTTTTAGTCATTGGTGGCTAGGGATTAAGTTATGTGGCTTCTTTGCTTTGTGAAGCAACTAAGTATCTGTATCTATAGTGATTCCTTAGTGAACTTGAGATTTGAAGAAGTCTGTTAAGTTCATGTTTTCTTTACTGCTGTGATTGATCTAAGTATAAGAAAACCTTAGGAGATCCGATATTTTCAACAGTTTTAGCTTATAAGAGAAACAATTGATTAACGTTTCCGTATTACAGTGTTAATATTATGGAAGCTGCTTGTGTTGTTGAACTGACGTTGTTTGATTTTTTTTGCAGACGGTGGATCTTAGAAAGAAAGTTGGCTTCTTCTGGAGTGCCGAAGGAGGAGCAGATGAACATGATAAAAGATCTGGAGAGAAAAGAGACTGAGTTTATGAGGCTTAAAAGGAACAAGATAAGTGTTGATGACTTTGAGCTTTTGACAATCATCGGAAGAGGTGCTTTTGGTGAGGTTTGTACAACAAAACATTGCTTGTGCTTTTAATTTTTTTTACACATTCTTGTAGTTCGTCTAATCTCATAAATAACTTAATATGACTTTCAGGTTCGCTTATGTCGGGAGAAGAAGTCTGGAAATATTTATGCTATGAAGAAGTTAAAGAAATCTGAAATGGTCATGAAAGGACAGGTAAAATTTCGTTAATAGTTGGAACAGTGTGCCATTCTATTGACTACTATTGCTCGCTGGAGCTTATAGTTAGTCTTGTCTGTCATTATGAGTTTGATGGTAATAATATTTGGCATAATCTTTTCTATGCTTACCAGCTTATACTGTAGTTTAGCTTTAATCTCGTGATTGCATGTGTTTTCATCTGTGTACTGATAACAATATATGTTGCAAAGTTAAAGATATTGGTCTTCATGTGTTTAGTTTTTATAAGTTCAACCAGTATCTCAAATACATGGTTCGATTTCAAGACGGTATATGCTAACATAGCAAATAGCAAGCATACTGGTTATGCTGTATTCTCGGAGTTTACGTATCTGGGTCTTTCTCTTCCTAGTATCTGATTAAATAAATATACATTTTGTAGGTGGAACATGTCAGAGCAGAGAGGAACCTGCTGGCTGAGGTTGCAAGCCATTATATCGTGAAACTCTACTATTCATTTCAGGATGCCGAGTATTTATACCTGATTATGGAATACCTTCCTGGTGGTGACATGATGACTTTGCTCATGAGGGAGGATACATTGCGGGAAGATGTTGCAAGATTTTATATTGCTCAAAGTGTCCTGGCCATTGAGTCCATACACAGATACAACTATATTCATAGGTGGATTTTGGAAATTATCTTAGTTTGCAAGCTTTACGTGCAAACAATGGTACTTTCGTTCATCTTGTTGACCTGTCTTTCCACTCGTTTTGCAGGGATATCAAACCTGACAATCTTCTTTTGGACAAAGATGGACACATGAAACTCTCGGACTTTGGGCTTTGTAAGCCTCTTGATTGTAGAACTTTACCTTCTATTCAGGAGAATAGGGCCACCGATGACGAAACTGTTACAGAACCTATGGATGTTGATGGATGTTTTCCCGACACTGATAACAAAAGAAGCTGGCGCAGTCCCCAGGAACAACTTCAGCATTGGCAGATGAATCGCAGAACACTAGTATGTTTTTTTTGGAGTAGAAAATTTCCCTCTGTATTATCCACATATTGCTCTGCTTCCTGAATATACCAAATATGACATAGATAGACGTTAAAATGGGGAATAGTGTCTGTTGATATTCTTCATATTGGATGAGAACACATTTTAAACTTTCATCACCTCTACTGTCTGTTGATGTCGATATTTTGTCTGATTCTCCTTTTCTTAAAGGCATTTTCGACTGTGGGAACACCCGACTATATTGCTCCTGAAGTTTTACTGAAGAAAGGATATGGCATGGAATGTGATTGGTTAGTTGTTCTGTTTTAGTGCTAAAGCTGTTTAAATTTATCTGTGCGAGTTGCAAGTTGCAACCAATTGTACCCAATGATAAAAGTTTTTTTCATTTTTCATTCTGCAATTTTTCCGTAATCTCCTATGGCTGTGTTTATTTACTTTTGGAATGTCTTTCTTGTCTCTCAGGTGGTCATTAGGTGCAATTATGTACGAAATGCTCGTTGGGTATCCTCCTTTTTATGCAGATGACCCATTATCGACATGCAGAAAGGTATTACATTCTGCTTTTATGTTCAGTATTCAGTTAGTTTCACTGTGTAAGGTTTCAAACAGTTGACCGTAAAGAATTTGACTGGTGTTCTAGTCAAACTTTCTGTGCGTCCGAGTTAGCAAAATATTAAAATCTTATTATAAAATAGAGTTCATGTATTTTGTCAACAATGCCTTGATTCGTGGGTAAAAATTTCTTTTGCTCGTTCTTTGTAGATGCAGAAAAGAAAACTAGACAATTTGTTTGATTGGTTCAGTGATCATATTCATGAAGTCTTATTTCTTCCTGCTAGATTGTCAATTGGAGAAATCATTTGCATTTTCCCGAGGACGCTAAGTTGTCACCCGAGGCAAAAGATCTTATCTGCAGGTTGCTGTGTAACGTCGATCATAGACTTGGCACTGGAGGAGGAGCCCAGCAAATCAAGGTAAGGATGTTCCGTGAGAAGATTAAGTAGTACGTGTGATAAGCTTCGGCACTTTTCCTTTACTTGTCCCCTAAATTTGCATCAGGTTCATCCTTGGTTCAAAGATGTTGTTTGGGAAAAGCTTTATGAAATGGATGCTGCTTATAAACCCGAAGTGAACGACGAGCTAGATACACAAAACTTTATGAAGTTTGATGAAGTATGCCATATATTTCCTTTTCCCTATCTTGCATTATTTTAAAAATGTTTTCCCGGGTGAATAGGCTTCACTCATATTACTTTAGAGCTAGCTTAACTTATAGCAGTATTTAAGGCTCTACATAAATTTGGATGGTTCATATCTTATATTTATTACGTAAGTATTAGTTTCAAATATGTGACTCATACAAGTGAGATGGTGCTAATACATACTGCCTTATCGAGCAAATATGTGTCTAATCCAAGGGAGTGATTCTCTTAAACCATATTTGTATTAAGTGAATTGATCTATTACCTAGAAATTTTGTTTGTTTGTGAATTGATGAAGAATAGCCACTCTTTTGTAACATTTATAATATTTTTAGGCATCTGAATTTCGGTAATTTTCTATGACATGTGAGGGGCTTACTGAATTTCTTGATATCATCTCAGGTGAATTCCCCTGCAGCTGAAAGAACTAAATCGGGTACCTCCAGGAAGGTTCGTAATTATTGTTAAGCGTCTACAAATACCAGCAGATATATGTATATATATATATATATATGCATGAATATCCGAATGGATGTCGATTATCCACATCATAGCAATGTTTGCTGCATGGATATCCATTCGATTGTCCACATAATAGTAATATTTGCTGCTGAAGTGATGGATATAATAAGAAAGCACTGCTGCTCGACATATACTTTTGTCTGATACATCCTTTTTCCATTTTGTGCAGAATCTTGCTCCCAAGGATTTAAGCTTTGTTGGCTATACATACAAGAACTTTGACGCCGTGAAAGGGTTGCGTCATTCACTTGGTACATCTAAAGCCCAAAACTATTATTAAATCATTTTCCAACCTCATACCTGGATTCCTGCATTTTTCTAGTCTTGATAACCTGTTTTACGTAACTGAGATACTGGAGTTTATCATTGAACAGACATTAGGAAGAATCTGACTAATTTCTTTTCCAATTCTGTAGAGATGGCAAGAACTATGTCTCTGGATCGATCACCAGGTGAGTTGTGTTTCATCATTTGAAAACTTCATGCTTCTTTTGTTTAGCTTTTTGCATGTTCAAAAACCGAAAGCTTCTTTCACAGATAATGGGCTTAACGACAATCTCATACATATATGCATATATATGCGTGTATATAGTTTACGTAAAGTACCACTTGTAATTCACAAAAAAAAAAGAGTGAAAACTGATATACTCAAAACTGTGTGCAGCTGAGGTGATGCCTGTGGAGCGGATAAGCGGGGAAGCAGCAGAAGCTCAGATGGTATCAACGATGGATGATCCAATGATTATTTGAAATAACCAAAACTAGTAATGAAGCAAAAGAAGACTAATCAATGGTTAGCCTTTCCTGATGATTCTGTGTATTAGAAGAAGCAAAAAAAAAGGAGGTGAAAGAGAGATTTAGAGGATTATTGAGTAAAAGTCTATGTGTTATATAAAAGCTGCCCAGGTTGGTTTTAGTAATGTTGCCTTCTCTAGTGGCAGTTTTATTAGCAACATTTTTAACTCTCTTTACCTTTCTCTGTGTGTATCAAAAAATTCGAACTTTTATTTCTATAAATTTGAAGACCCACCATGGAGTGAGGACTTTTAGAGTGTATATTTGAGTTTTGTTTGCAAGTTAGATTTCTAACCAAACTTGGATATAAGGATGTTTTCATGTTATGTTATACTTTTTTTGTTTAGTATTAGTAACGGTAATTTTGGGTTAGATCTGGTTACACAAAGTTCTATGAATCAAAATATCTTCGTTTTATGGTTTAACTAAAACTAATCAAATGCCGCTAATCATCCTCAAAACTCTTTATCGCTGCACTAATCACCCAAGTGAATACGATATCCAAAAGGAAACTTTATTGATGCCAAATCCAATGTCTTGAAAAGAAACTTCAAATTCTGTGGTGAGATGAAGAAACGACAAAGGTTTGCATAGTCACAGATACTTCAGTTTATTCAGGAGATAAAACAGAAAGAAAGAGTTGAGACTTTTAGTTTGAAGAGAGCTGAGCAACGAGGTGTGTGAGATTGTCTTCCTTTTTGATACTCTCCACCCAATTAGCATTAATATGAACCTTTTCAATGCTCTGCTTCAAGGTTCTTGCCATTGAAGGCTTTGTTCTCGTTGCAAAATACTCCTCCACTTCTTTCGCCTTCTCAAACGAAGCAAACTAAGACAATTTGGACATATGAGAAGTCAGCGATCGAGTAGAAAGATCAAAATCTGTTCATGGACGAATAAAGATTTTTTTATTAAAAGAAAAAAAGAACTAACCGGAGATACAACTGCGCTTACGAAGCGTGTTAGGAGAAATCCAGAACCCCATGTCTTCTCAATGTACTCCCACTTCTCCTGTAGCCATTTCCAGGCTACTTCACGTCCTTCCCAACTTACACCGGAAAGTCCATAGACTGCATCTTGATTCCTGACCTGGAGAAACAAGAAACCCCGTTTTAACATCAAATAGCTCAAGCCTTATGATAAGAACATCCATACTATATATATATATATATACCTCATCAGACAATACAAAGTTAAGAACATCTTGAACTATACTGGGGTCTGGGCAACATGCTAAAGAACCTGCAAAACAACAAAGGAAACATTAGCAGTTGAAATAACAATCTTCTATTAAGTTATTTTCTGACGAGATCAGTCACCTAAGATTCGTGTTTTCTCTTGGCTCAGGTCTGTTTCCCTATACACCTTCAGCAGAGACTCAAAACCAGATTTGTCTGACTTGTTGGCTCTCTGCATTACAGCAACATAAGCAGCCTACGAAACAAACAAACAACACAAAGATTCAATTATAAGGTCGCCATTTCCACATTTGGAAGCTTAACCGGGTTATGTAATAAGAAACAAACCCTTCTAAGGTCAGGAGGCAGAAGCGAAGTGTTCCTATCGGCTACGAATGCATCAAATCTTCGAATTGCTTCCTTTAGTGTCTCATCGTGTCCAAACGAAGCAAGTGCAGTTAAGACTTCCCCTCTCAGCATAGCATCAAGATGGCTCTCCCCTTGTTTTGGATCCCAACCAAGTTTCCTGTAAGAACAATGAACATTGTAAGTTTGTAACAACGTTGTTAAAGTTAAGTTATATATAATCTTTGGCGGTTGTTAAAGTCTAAATTACGTAGATGGGTAAAACAACTTACCCAGCAGCAAGCTGGAAAACGCGGATGAAAAACTGTTTAATCCCAGACATCAATTCTAAGTTTGCATCTGCTGCAATCTTCACAACTTTGTAGCTTATCTGTATGAAGAAAGAGTAAGAGCCTGATGCAAAAGCATTTTTAAACTAAAGACAAAAGAAAAGATCCTTACAACAATGAGGTTGGACAGCACGGTGTAGTCAAGTTCCTTCTTGTAAGCACTAATCAAAGTGAGCAACGAAGCCAGAGATTGCTGACGGGCCATAGAAAGTGCAAAAGAATCATCCAAAATACCTGTGTAATAAAAAGAAGTATATTCATCTCTAAAGAAACTTTATTTATGTCAACCAGAAAACCAAACTCTGTAAGGTAAAATTACCATATCTATCAATAGCAGTCAAGCTTTGGCTCTCTGTTGCTTTCCTGAGTCCAGCAGCGAGGCTGTCATCATATTTCACCCTATAGAACCCAGCCTGATCGACATTGATTTTTATCCAAGAGCAACCATCACCAAAGGAACAGCCTAATAACTCCTTTATATCATATGCTCCAGATTTGGATTCCAACAAGAAATTTTTGCGCACGTCATATGAACCACAACACAAGGTTACTGGCACAATCCATTGTCCTTCCCCAGGAGCACCGCTTGACAAGAAACGAGACTGTAATTTTAAAAATGAATTTAGTTAGTTCCTAAATGGCAGTTAAAAAGGGGTATAAGTAAGACATCCAGTAAGGGAAATATGTTTATGAACCTGCTCAAGTTCCAATTTTCCATCTTTTAATTTGGCTGAGACAACAGGATATCCTTTTTGCTTTGTCCAAGAACTCATAAGCTTATTCACAGGTTCTCTTGAACCCTCTTCCAAAGCGCTCCACAAGTCTTCTGTCTTCGCGTTTGAGTAAGCATGACGTTTAATGTATGCAGCAAGCGACTTCTGCTTACCAGAACCATATAAATAGAGTACGAAGTTTTAGAGAAAATGGGAAACTGACAATAGATGCCACCATATTTACCATGCATAATATGAGAATATAAGAGAAAATTAGCAAGAGCAGAACCTGAAACACTTCAGCACCAAGATAGCTTTGTAGCATGCGGATGACAGAAGCACCCTTCCTGTAGCTTATTGCATCAAATATTTCATCAATTTCAGAAGCATGATTAACCTCCACCTGAGGAAAGTTAAGATTCATGATAATTAGCTAATAGGTTCTCTCCCAGATGGATATTGAATATTAAGGAAAAAAGGCACCAAGTTTTCACGATACATATATTGAGAACATTTTTTTAGAGTGAGTGTCACACTTAATAACATAGATACTTATTTTGGTTACCTCTATCGGGTGAGACTCTTCAAGGCCATCTAGCCTTAGACCCTCAGTAGATTCATCCAAAAACTGGGTCCAGATTTTCCATTCAGGGAACAGACTGTCAGTAGCCAAGTAGCTGACCTGAAATAGATAAAGAGTAACAACAAATTCACAACAAGACTCAAAATCATTGTTAATACAAAGACCTGGAGTTGAAATGTACCCAAGTGGCAAAACCCTCGTTGAGCCATAGATGAGTCCACCACTCCATAGTGACAAGATTGCCAAACCACTGGTGAGCCAGTTCATGGGCAACTACAGTCGCAACCTAGCAGGAGAAATTAATTCCTTTAGATATAATAGTAAAAGCGCACAAGAAAATCTCCTCTAGAGAATCATAGGCCATGGTTTCAGTACCCTCTGTTTGTTAGAAGCTGCTGAATGTTGCTCATCATAGAGAAGAGCTGTTTCACGGTATGTAACTAAACCATAATTCTCCATAGCTCCAGCAGCAAAATCAGGAATCGCAATCATGTCAATTTTGGGAAGGGGATATGGCACAGCAAAGTACCTACAAGAATGATTGGTGTTATTTTGCAATATGATTATATGCATGTAAATGAAGTTTCAAAAATGGATGAAGGACTTACTCTTTGAACAGATCCAAAGTCTTTGCACCAACATGTAAAGCAAATTTCCCTTGGTTGGTTTTGCCCACTTGACAGTATACTCTGACTTTGATCCCTGAGCAAAAGATAACACTTGAATAAGAGGTTTGACTAGACATGACATAATAAGCAATAAATAACAATTTTACCATCGGATGTGTGATCCTCCACGTAGTCAAACAAACCAACAACAATGGCCACCAAGTATGTAGACATAATGGGAGACTCTTGATAAGAGACAGTCTTCACGTTCCCATTAACTTTCTCCTCCACAACGGGCATGTTAGAGAGAGCCACTAAATCAGAAGGCACCTCTAGTGTTATCTTGAAGGTAGCCTGTTGCAAAAAGTGTCAATATGGATTAAATATCGATATGTTCTTCATGCTGATAAAAGAGGATGCAAAAAAAAAATGAACATGTTAACAAAACCTTGCAAGCAGGTTCATCCCAGCAAGGGAAGCATCTCCTAGCATCAGCTGGTTCAAACTGTGTAACCGCCATGTTCTTCTTCTCACCGTTACGTTCATAGGTACTACACACCAAAGAGTAAATAAGATACTTTGAGGACTAAACCTTTATGATCTATGTAAATCACTTACAAAAAAACGTAACAAAAAGTTTACCTTTTGTAGAATCCCTTCATCTGGTCGTTGAGGATTCCATTGAAAGCAAGTTTAAGAACTCCAACTCCATGGGGAAGATTCTCAGCAAACTCAAGCACCAGAATCTCATCCTCTTCAAAGAGTGCAACTTTCGGAGCTGCAACCGCCTGCTTAACATAAAAAGGAATCTCTTTTACGAAACGAAACATAAGAAGCAACAAAGATAAACTCATCACAATCCCAATATCTCTCTCCTACTTCAGATCATAAATATTTAATCTAAACCCTAGAATACGGACAGCTTTCTATATATCCAAATCATCAAGACAGTAACTCTTAATCACATTGTCGGAATCTGAACCCACATCATTATTACAAGAAAAAAAAATGGTCGGAGCGTTGAAAAAAGTACCTGAGAGGAGGAGGAGGAGCTAGGGGTGAAGGAAACGGAGGCATCGTTGACGGAGAGATCAGCAGCGTTGAGGACGATGAAACGAGTATCGGAGACAACATCTAGATCGATGGAGACTGTTCCGGTGAAAGTACAAGCGACGAGATCGGGATTGAGATGGAGATCGTATCGCTTCGGGACTGCGAACTTAGGGAGACGAGGCTGACCTTTGAACTGATCCATCTTCTTGTTTTCGCAAAATGTTTTTTTTTTGGAGACTTTTTTTTTGGGGTGTTCTTAAGATGTGAGTTGTATCCTTAAATAAACAAAATTTGCAGTGAAGGAGAAGGAAGAAAGTGTTTTATGTTACGCCACGCAAGATGATAATGACAATTACACGTGATTCCCTTTACAAGTTAAAAGCCCACTATACGCTATTGGGCTTAACGGGCTTTTTTTTTTTGCCTAGGTTTTATTTATTTATTTTGTCTTGCGAAAAACGACGTCGGATAGAGTTTCCCACACTTCCTCGGAAACTTCCGTCATCGTCGTCGTGGGGAAGTCGTGTGTGTGTGTAGTTGATTAACGGGTTCAACGAGAGAAAGTGCGTAGTAACTGCTCACTATCTCGTGGATGGTATCTGAGGTTTACGGGTTTTAGCGAAATTGAGAGATATAATTTTTCAGACAGCTTTTTGTGTTCTGGTCTGAATTACACTTTTGTGTCTTCCTGTCCCGATCTGATCAAAAGGTTAAATTTCAATTTTTTTAACAAACATTTTTGCTTCTTCGTGTTGAAAATTCTTCAGCTTGAAGCTATGTATTGTTGCTGATTTATGTATATTCATTCATTTCTTTTTTGTTTGATCTTCCATGGGGGCAATTCACAAGGTATCAGTACATACTTTGATCCCCAAAATAAAAAAGTTAAAAGGCTTTTTTTTTCTCTTATTTTATGTTCCTTGTAGATCATCTTTGGTGAGTTTTTTTAAAATTGCTAAGCTTAAAAAATACTAGTGATCCAGAAGATGGGCTTGTTGAAGAAAAAAGATTCAGCTTCTACTCACTCCTCTACTTCACCCTGTGCTGATTTGAGAAACGCTTACCACAATTGCTTCAACAAGTGAGTTTCCTTTCTCGCCCTTTTGAGAGAGATTGTCTCTAGTGTTCAAGGGTTTAGTTAGTAGCTATGCTGAACCAAATAGAGTTTCTGAGGGATATATCTTTTCTCTGACTTTTTAGTTTTTTTGGACCATTAGTTCTTCTCTTGATATGAAATCATTTGATTGGTGTATGTATTATATTTCTTTCCATAACCATAAAATTTGCATCCTTTATATTTGGTTCTGCAGATGGTATTCGGAGAAGTTTGTGAAAGGACAATGTGATAAAGAAGAGTGTGTTGCTGAGTGGAATAAGTACAGACACTGTCTCTCGGTAACTCCACCTCTATTCATGTTTTTTTTGTAATCAATCATCTTTCTGAGTCTTGTTTGTTTCGGTTTTCATGGTTGTGTCAAACAGGAGAATTTAGATGGTAAACTTCTGACTCGCATGTTGGAGGTTGATGCTGAGCTGAATCCAACAGCGCCAACATGATTCAAAAGAAACCAGTCGATGATAATACCTGATACACTTAAATGTTTCTCAACAACATTGTATCTTTGAAATAGATTCATTGAGCAACTTTTTCGATAGTAAAGCATATGAATCTTATTGCTTAGGAAAGCCAATCAAAGTAGAAGCGGAATGTTGTATTCTTTATTTGGCACACACGAATTCAAAAACTGATTATCAAAGAGAATAAAGATAGATAATCACTTCTTCTTGAACAGGAAGTGTGAAAGCATCCACTCTTCTCCATTGTTGTACCCAAAAAGCTCAGCGACCGCGATGAAGAAGGTTTTCCAGTAAACCATCCACTTCACTGCCTCCTCTTTCCCATAACTCATTTCCATTATCTCCTATACTGCAACTTTCTCCTTGTCCATTCTTTTCAGCCACTCTTCACTGCAAAACTGTCAGGTATTATCATAATATAATTAGCATCTTCTTATCACTTAATATTATAGTTAATTTTAGAAATATTCATTTGCAGTTCCAGTTAAATAGAATATCAAGCATTATACTTATACATCAATATGAATTTAGACATCTGTTCTCTTCTTTTTACACGTCTCTTCTGATAATTACGACTATACTAAGCAAAACACTTGGCAGTGAGTTTTCTTCTGTAGCCTGGTCGAATTTTGTTTCTTCGTTTAAATAACGAATATAGCATTTTGTCTTGCATTTTTCTCCTCGAATGGGACGTTCCACACTTAAGTTTCCATGATTTCTTCTTTTTCCTTCTTGAGAAAAAAAGGTGTGAACAAGAAAAACAATTAAGACAAAAGAAAGAGAAATCGTCCCCTGCCTATCTAACTATTTTTTTAAGATTGTTCAAAGAAAAAAAACCCATTTTTGAAGAAGAAAAAGTAACAAACATACGCTATGTTTATTTTTCTCTAATAAGAAAGTGAAACTTCTTCCATAATTCGTATTTCGATCATATATATACAACTCATATAATCATTAACTAACCTCTTATTTTTCCAAGCAAGAAACTTCATGTGATGAAAAGAAATATGAAATATTGGCAATTTTGCAAGATATTATTATTATGTTCATAAATGCGCCAAAACAATTTACTATTTGCTTTAGGCCAACTTAGTCAACGAGCATGTGGAAGTTTGTCCCAAGTGTGTAAGAACGCGTTTTAAAAATAATCTTCAACGACGACTACCTAACTTTAGATTTTAGATCTAATGTTTATTTTCAACTGATCATACCGAGGTCTTTAAAGTTTATTTCCTCTTCAAAGTAAGAGAAAAGCAAATTATAATTGAGTTAATTTTTGAGATGGATTGTTGGAAGAAGAACAAGAAGTCACGGGTGGTTGTTAAGAAACAAAGTTTGGTCCAAGAAGGTGGGAGAGAGGAGATATTGTTAGAAGAGCTCATCAAATGTTGTGATGGAAAGTCCAATCCAATCAAATTCTTCTCTGCTGATCAAATCTTGAAAGCCACCAAGAGTTTCAGCAAGTGTAGTCTTGTTCTTGAACTATTTGATCATGAGAGATGGTATTCAGGTACGCTAGATAACCATCGCAAGATACTCGTCAAGAAGTTGTGGCGCACACAAGCTTCTAATCCTCAAGGCTTTTTCCCCGAGGTCCGTGACATAGCGATATCATCGATGGTGAGTGGTCACAAAAATTTCGTGAAATTAGTTGGATGTTGCCTTGAGACTGAGGTTCCAGTCATGGTATACTATGTCGAAAGGAAACAATATTGTCGTATAGATCTAGAGAAGATAGTGTCGTGGGAAAAGAGGGTGAAGATAGCAGAGGAGATTGCAACTGCTTTAGCTTATCTTCACACTGCCTTCTCAAGGCCCTTTGTATATAGTAACATGGACATTCGTAATATCTTTTTGGACGAAGATGGTGTTGCGAAACTCGGTGATTTCTCAAACTGTGTCTCAATTCCACGAGGAGAAACATACGTCAAGCTTGGTTACGTAAGGGGAGCTTATGATTACATCGATGATGATTATATGAATAGTGGTGTGGTTTCACAGAAAACTGATGCGTTTGGTTTTGGAGTTCTCATGCAAAAGCTTCTTACAGGAGAAGAAAGATTTCGTGAGCTTTATGGTCGGAAGAATTGGAAAACTTTGTCAAAAAGGAGATTTCCAAGATGTTTGTCAAGATCAATTGAAGAGGGCAGATTTGATGAGATCGTAGACTCAAATATGTTAGGGAAAATCGGTGAAGATGCAGAAAAAGAGCGTTTTCAAATGGAAGCTTTCCTTGTCCTCTCAGAAAGATGCATCGGTGTTAGAGGAGAAGTTCCAAACATGGTGCAAGTGGTCAAGGAGCTAAAGAGATACCCCTCATCTTCTTTTGTATTATAAGATCATCAAGTTTGTTAAAGTTTAACCAAGATTCATTTTATTATAACTTTGTGTTTGTAAATCATGAACATATTGTAAATCACATATGTTTAGATTTGATAATAACAAAGTGAGACAAACATTGTAAAATATAAATCACAGATGCGGCTCGATGAATGCTTTCTGTGTTTTTGAGTTGCATAGACCAGTTATCTTGCATATGCTGTACTTGCGGGCAATGTACAAGGACAAAGATCCCCAGCCACATCCAACATCAAGAACACTTTGTCCATCTTCAACTTTAGCCCTTTCGCAATATAGAGCCAACATAGCTTCCTCAGCATCTTCCAAGCTACTTGAATCGTTTGAGAAATAACAAGAGCTGTATTTCATGTTTCTTCCAAGAACAAGTTCGAGGAAAGCTGTTGGTAATTCTTCTAGAAAGACTAAGAGATACAAAACTGAATGAACAAAACAGATACAATTAATTAAGATATTTTGTACTTCAATAATAAAGTTGTTACAAGACTTGAGAGTAAGTCTCTCTCCTCACCATACAACCTTGATCACAAAATACTTTTTTAAACTTCTCTTAGCCATCATTAAATACTACTACTGGTCATCCTAAATCACATTCACCATGTGATAGGCTACAAACCATACTAAAAGATTTTTAATAAAAAACTTACTAGCTACAGTTAGAGTCTCTCCTCTCTGCTTCTGTTGGAGCATTTGACCGAAGAACACCCACATGACGAAACACAGAACCGGTTTGCAACTATGCACTGGCATCTTACTGTCTTGCAGCTAGACCTCTTACCACAAGTGCAATATGGTGTGGCAGAAGATGATTTGCTAGCAAGCTTCTGTCTTAAACCTTCAATCTCTCTCTGTCAATGCATATTTCATTTCATCAAAAAAAATTGAGTCCACTAAAACACAATATAAACCACTAATATAAGTAACTTCCTCGTAATTCAGCCTTCCAGAAGATATATGTTTATTGTTGTAAGTTTATATGCATACTATCTTTTTATGAAACACATGAAAAAATACTAAAACGAGCACAGTACCTCCTTTTGTTCAAGTCTCTTGTTCAGTTCCTTTAGCTCTAAGTCCAGCTTTTCTTGAGACTCGGGGGCAGTCGTGAGATCAATGTAGGGCTTTTCTTCAACTTCAGGTTCTTCATCAGCCGTGAGATCAATGATGCACTTTTCTTGAACTTCAGCTTCATCATCAGTGATATCAATGATCTCCACTGGTTTGTTTTGACATTTATCTTCTTGCTGCTCACTCTCTGTCTTCTTGGGTTCTTTACCCAAATTCCCAGTCAGATCATCCAAAGGAGAAGTGTTATGTTTTCTGAGCTCTGAAGGTGACAAGGAAGAAACATCATCTGGTTGAGAAGTAGATGGGATTTGAAGCTCAGAGATAGCTTCAACAACATCCTCATCATGCTGAAGCTCAGGTATAGCTTCAACAACATCCTCATCGTACTCGTACTGAAGCTCAGAGTTAGCTTCAACAGCATCCTCATCATGCTGAAGCTCAGAGATAGCTTCAACAACATCCTCATCATGCTGAAGCTCAGAGATAGCTTCAACAACATCCTCATCATGCTGAAGCTCAGGTATAACTTCAACATCATCCTCATGGTACTGAAGCTCAGTGATAGCTTCATCAAAGACATCCTCATTGTACTGAAGCTCAGTGATAGCTTCATCAAAGACATCCTCATCGTACACAGGCTTGTCATAGACAGGTTTCCTCAGCAATGAAGGTGATGAGGTGGAGGCAAAAAGATCATCAAACCTAGCTGCTTGAGAAGTCAATGGGATCTTAAGCTCAGAAAAAGCTTGGAACACATCCTCCTCCTTATCATACACAGGCTTGTCATTGAACGGTTTCCTCAGCACTGAAGGTGATGAGGTGGAGGCAAAAAGATCATCAAACCTAGCTGCTTGAGAAGTCGATGGGATCTTAAGATCAGAAAAATCTTGGAACACATCCTCCTTATCATACACAGGCTTGTCATTGTCCGGCAAAGACTTTGATCTTGATGGTGTGAGCTCCTTGAACATAGCATCATAGTCAACAGAGGATGGTGCAGACGGCGGCTTATGCTTCTGTACCACTGCTTTGTTCTTAATATTTCGAGCACAATTTGCATACCTCAAAGTATTCAGTGTCTCCTCAACATCTGTAATTGCTGGACTTACACAAGCTGCATCACAACATTAAAGTCATTAGAATAAATGCTTGAATAAGAATTAAAAAAAAAAATGAAAAACCATACCAATCATCAAGGTTTTGCTATTGCCTCCAAGAGAATCCTAAATTGTAAAAATTTAAGTGAAAATCATACTAATCATCAGGACATAATACGACAAAAAAAGAAGAAAGAAAGAAACGTTGGATAACCTGAAGCAAGCGAGTTAACTTGCTCTCACGGTAAGGAATGTGAACTCCTTTCTTTCTTTTTCTCTCATCTCCTAGCTTTTTAATCACATTACTCAACACTAGAAGACTACTGTTGATGTGTCCACCTTCTTTTAACCGAATCCCATCAGCTCCTGTTCTGTTGGCACTCTCTGATCCAGCTAAGTCAACTAGACGAATCTTTCCACACACTATTTCTTCAGCTGTTGTGATTTGCAGAGATATTGTGAAGATAGCATGTGAACGGCTAAATAAACAAAACAATACACAAAGCATTTATTAATTAATTTATATTGTGTACTAAAAATGGAAAGAAATTCAGTTACCTTGATTGTATATTCATGTTTGTGGTGCCAGTAGCACGAGTAAAAGAACCTCTTGCTAGATACGAGCTCATCTCCTCTTTAGTCTTCACTTCTACCTCAGTAACGCCTTGCAAAGTTAACTTTCCACAATCAATTCCTCTGATTGTAATTGGAGCTCTTTTTGAGGCAAGCAAATCGTAAATCTCTTCATTATAAATCTGCATTACATAAAAAGAGTAATTAACAGAATAACAACATGATAATAAACAGACTAAAATAGATGTTTGTACTTCTAACCTCAAGAAAAGATACTCGTATCTGAGATTTGACTGCCTCCTCCACTCTAGTAAATATATCTTCCATCACTCTTGGTATAATTCCACCATTTGTTCCACAGTTAGTGCCCATGGTGTATGTTTTACCTGAAGCAGTCTTTAAATAGCAACAAAAAAAAAACAATGAGTTTGATCCAAACAAGAAGTTAAAAAAAAGAATCTCTCAAAATCAAACCTGGCCGTAAGCAAGAACTGTTGCATTGTAGCCTTTGAAGAGATCGTCCACAAGAGGAGCAACACATCTGTGGTAGAGATGTGAAAAAGGTGAGCCATCGTTTCCAAATACGAAATCATACATAAAAGTATGAGAACCTATGTGAACCGGAAAACAAAAAAAAACAAATAAAAATGAGTTCCTTCTAGTATCCTTGAAGAACCTTGAAAAGAATTTGTGCTTGTAGTAAATCATTTCTTTTGAGAATATACCTGTGGCTCATCAGGTGTGACGGTGATGCAATCGGTGCATCCCTCCGTTATAGTCAAGGGTCGTATGTTGACGGCAACCTTAACGGGTTCTGTGCTCTTCATAGAGAAACCTCTTTGCTAAGAAGTGAAAGTAGAAAGGTTAAGAACAAACCCTAAATTATGTTTTATCAGCAGAGATAGATAGGGAGAGAGAGATTTGACTCACATAGAGCTCAGGGGATTCCCTTCTAGAAGAGATTGCGAGAAACAGGGCCGAGCAATCGAGATGGAGTCACTGAGACGTCAACAGTGCCGACCGATCAGAAATGAGGAGCTTCTATGTCTGTAAAGGAGTGAGAGAGATGCTGAGGAGTGAAAAGAAGAAAGGAACAAAGACGAAGATGTTTCAAATTCCTTTCTATTTTTTGTTTCCCTCTCTCTTACAAAACTTATGTAGATCCCACCATCACTGATATTCTATTCGATCGACTCTGGTGACTTGTCCGAGAACCAGATATAATCGCACGTGTGGTCTGAAACAACACACACGTGTGTAATATTGTGTTATGAGTCTTATGATTTGGTTCGTGGATAAGCTAAAAGGGCAGGCTATAAGGCCCATTATTTTCTGACTTTCAGCCTTTCACACGGCAAAAACATGAAAATTTCATGAATAGAGAGATTCCTTAATCTTAATCATATGAAAATTTACTTCAATAATACAGAATAACTAGGTGTTTTGCCCGCACTTGCGGGCTTAATAATTTTACTAATATCTATAAATAAATATATAATCAATTTATGTAAATTATAATAAATTATAGTTCACAGACTCAAAATATTTAATAATAAAGAAAACAAATTCTTTTTATATATAAAACTTTTCATCATCATATAAATAATTTTCATTACACAACTTATATTTAAAAATACTCATGAACTTAAAACATTTAGTAATAAATTAATATCACTTTTAGACATAAAAAATTCTCTTTAATAATGTTTTGGATAACACAATATAAATTATCTATACATAAATTCTTTCCGAATTGATTTTTCATAATTAACTATATGTTAACAAATATAATTATTTTTCAACGTTAATAAAGACTTTATAACACAATATAAAAAAGTTAGATAAAGATAATTATCAAATTCATGAGATTCATTTTTTAATTTAGAATTAATTATATGTTAACAAATATAATTATTTTTTAAGGTTGATAAAGACTTTATCACATAATATAAAAAATTAAAATAAGGATAATTATCAAATAAATGAAATTCGTTTTTAATTTATAATTAATTATATATTAACTAATATAATTATTTTTCAAGGTTAATAAAGACTTTATAACCCAATATAAAATAGTTTTAGATAAATCTAAAATCATTGATATTCGTTTTTTATTTATGTTTAATTATAGTAAAAAATTTAATTATTCATTAAGGATATAAACGATATTAACTCCTCTAACTTTCAACGTGAAAGTTACAAATTAATCAGTAAATTCACTTAAATTTTATAATTGAAAATATATTTTTAAGATAACAATCTAATACAAAAGAATTAACATATTTTCTAAAATATAATATTATTAACATAAATTCTTTTTTTTTTTTATAATAAATTATTAAAACATGAAAATAAGCAAAATAACCTAAAATCATGGAGAAGTTGACAACTAAGCAAATTTACTTCTAAAATAATAATTGAAAAATATATTTTTAAGATAAAAATCTAATATAAAAGAATTAACTTATTTTCTAAAAATATAATATTATTAACATAAATTGGTTTTTATTATATAATAAATTATTAAAACATAAAAAATAAGCAAAATAACCTAAAATCATGGAGAAGTTGACAACTAAGCAAATTTACTTCTCAAATAATGTTATAGAGCGTTGAAAGTTACAAATTAATCAGCAAATTCACTTAAATTTTATAATTGAAAATATATTTTTAAGATAATAATGTAATACAAAAGAAATAACATATTTTCTAAAAAAATATAATATTATTAACATAAATTCTTTTTTTTTTTACTTTATAATAAATTATTAAAACATGAAAATAATCAAAATAACCTAAAATCATGGAGAAGTTGACAACTAAGCAAATTTACTTCTAAAATAATAATTGAAAAATATATTTTTAAGATAACAATCTAATATAAAAGAATTAACATATTTTCTAAAAATATAATATTATTAACATAAATTCGTTTATATTATATAATAAATTATTAAAATATAAAAATAAGCAAATTTACCTAAAATCAAGGAGAAGTTGACAACTAAGCAAATTTACTTCTCAAATAATGTTATAGATATATTTGAATTCTAAACGAAATAACATGGAACCACTATATATGTAGGAATTTCTGATTTTTACATCGTAAGAAACAATATTTATTCTCTTTAGTAGACCAATCAATTGCATCTATATACAACTTTACATCATATATCATATAAATGTTTGAATTCGCAGATATATTTTTCAGAAACCAGATTAAATAATTAAATAATATTAATCTAAAGAATATATGATTTCAATCTGAGACTATATACACAAAATTTACAAATAACATAAACGATATACCACATTAGCATACAAATTTGAAATTGTTAAATATAATCTTCAAGAAATTATTTAAAAATAAAATGAAAAGAAGATAAACAAAGAAAATTATTTTATTAAAATAATAGTCTTGATATAAACTAAATATTTGAAATTTAAAATTAAATTTTAATTAGCAAAAGAAGAGAACTTTCTAAAAATAAATTATTTTTAAAGTAAATAACTTTAAAACCATGTATATAAAAATAAAATAAAAATGAATACAAAATTACGAAAATGTAAATCAATAAATATAAAAATTATCTTAAAAGTTGGCTTGGTATTTATACTAATTTATTGAAAATTAACATAAAAAGAGTTTACAAAAAAAAACAAAATTATGTCCATAACATTTATTTATGATAGGGCTATATGTTTTTAAATATATTCACATATAATTTAAAAATATAAAAGTATGTCAAATCAGCATCAGAGTTAATATTTGAATATTTATAAAAGTTAAAAAACAATTCTATAAAATAAACTTAAAATATCAATTAATATAAGTACACAAAAACAAAATAAAAAGATGGTAAAATAATGGTAAAATAAACTTAAAAATATCAATTAACATGTTTAAATAATTCTCAATTAAAATATAGAAACTAAAACATTCATCAGCATTTACTTTTTAGTTTATTTCAAAATCTATCTATCTATCTATCTATTTTTTTTTTTCGGTCAAATCTATCTATCTATCTATAATCTATAATAATAAAGTTTAAATATCTGTCCCCACAGTCATCCACGTCACTCTTTTGATGTGGGGATTGTATGACATGTGTCAAGCTTGGATTGGCCATCATCTTTCTTTTTCTTTATTAAGATGTGGGGTCCAATCTCATATTTCAACGAAGTAAACCATTGAAATTCAGAGCCCAAACCCTTATCTTCCTCGCCGTCTCAGCTTCGCCCTTCTACCTTCCCCTTTCGACAATAACAAATTAACAATTATCAGACGTCAAGTGGTGTTAATCTCTGGGTCCATCCACCATCACCATTAACATCCACCATTAATTAGCTCTCAAACATTGAACCACCATCACCAATCTCTCTTGGGCTTTCTACTCACCCAATCTATATAAACCAAAGAGTTAATAACTCTCCTCCTTCCATAGCAACCACACCTCAACTTATACCAATCGTACGTTTCTTTGGGTTTCTCTATTGCATCAATTTGTCGGTTGACTACTTTC